GCTTCCCTGTCTGGGGCTCGTGGTGGGGAGGTAGCGGAAAGCCGGCACACGCCGCTCCCGTCCACGTGCCGGTAGGACGGCACATTAAAATGAAACCGTTACATGCTCGAAGGAATTTCAGCTATGGCTGGGATGGTGGGAAAGAGATTAATGGCGCTGCTTCCCCCCTGGCACCAGCTTGGCTGGCAGCTTGGGTAAAGAAGAGCCCACTCTAAACGCTCCCAGGGGTCCCGGGAGGAACTCATTACGTCTAGACTGGCAGTAGCCGGCAGTTCTGCTTTGTGAGCTGTGAAACTAATGTTTATCCACCACTCAGTTAGATTCAGCGCCATTTAAGGAGTCTGGGGTATTAAGCAGGAGGAATGAGAAGTACATTACCCAGCGTGCTACTGAAGCAGACCTTGGTGAGGAGGATGGAAGCGGGACCCCGTCCCGACAAGCTGGCGCAAGGAGCGATGGAGGGGTCTGCAGGGTCTCCCATCCCGCCCGCGCTTCAGCAAGGCTTATTCTCTGACAACGCTCCTGCACAAGCCCGCTGCCAAATTGGCCTTCAGCTCCAGGCAGCCGCTGCCCGTCTCATCTGTAAGTTGCCATGTACTTTAACAGCATCTCCCTGATCCCTTGTAATCTCGTTTTTTTCCACCGCTCCCAGTCATCTCTCCCTTTCCTTCCCTCCCTCCCTCCAGCAGCCGCGGAGCCAACAGCAGCCCCACACAGCTGTTAAAGGCTGGAGAGCATCACAGCAGCACCCAGGGTACCCGAGCATCCCATGGCTGGGCGAGCACCGATGGTCCAGCAGACAGGCTGGAGCCACATCCCTGTGGGATGTCCCTTGCACAGCTTCACCGGGAGACGAAGCGCAGCGCAGGGGCCACCGCGCATTTCTCCAAGATGCCCTTCGGAGGCCCAGAGTCAGAGACATCTAAAATTCATAAATGTCAAGGAGGAAAGGAAGTGAGGACAACTAAATATAGATATCCAAACACCTCCTTTAAGGCTACAAAAGCAGCGTGATACATGCAGCCTAAAAGCCTCCTTAGACTTGAGCCTGGCAAAGCGTTTAAGGGCAGCCTGGCGGCTGGGGACCCCGCAGTTTTGCATGGGTAGGCGGCCGCTGTGCACCCACAAACCCATCCTCGCCCCTCTCCCGCATGCACTGCGATGCTCCTTAACCCAGCAGCAGCACGCAGGGGTGGGGGAGGGCTTCTCTGCCTGATCCGCATATCGCTGTCCCAAGGGTCTCACGGGGCTGCTCTTCTAAAGAGGCTTTCACAGTTAGACCCCGCCGACCGCCAGCGTAATCAATGAATGCTGCCGGCCGGTTTTCTTCGCAGACTGGGGCTGAAAGCAGGTTTCAGGAATTGCTCACAGCAGCCCGCCTGGGCAGCCGGGGGACGGAGCCTGAGAGCGGCTGCGATGGGAAGCGGCGGCAGGAGAGCCAAGCTGCGTGCCCAAAGAGACGATTTGAACTTCTTTCCAAACATTTTAAAGAAGGGGAAAAAAACATCGGCCCCCCTACTGGCTTCTATCCTGATCATCCTCCGCTGGCAAATACAGAGGGATGTGCCCGGCGTTGCCGGCTCAGGAGCCGTAGGGAGAGGTCTGCCACGTCCCATACGTCCTGCCTAAGTACAGGGGCTGCCTGGAGCTTCCCCACCCAACCGTGCCCCTGCTAGAACCCGGGGTTTCGTCAGCACCGCAGGTTTGCGTGGGAAGATGGAAGTGAAAAACCCCTGACGTTTCTGAGTTGAAACGTCTTTTCTTTCTCTTCCACAGGAAGCGTCGCTGTTTACTTCTCCATTCCGCTTCAAGGGGAACAGAAACGGGTCCTGAAATGTCTGGGCTTCCTATGGAAAGGAGATGCTGATTTTTCAAAAGGGAATCGCGTAGGAGAACTAGCTGAAACCCGAAAATAAATCCCGGGTTGTCAGAGCCTTCAGTATCTGTTTTAATTATTACTCTGGCGGGATTTTCTCAGAGATAATATTTCCACAGTGATAACGGTTATCACTTTATTTTATAGCCTCGGCTATTTGCAAGCCGGGAACGAGCAGGATAGGCGTCAAGAAGAGTTTCCAGGACACGTTCAAAAGCAGAAAGTGCTGGCTTTCACCTGCCCCGCTTACAAGGAGCACGACGTCGTCCCCAGCGTTCGCATCCCGGTCCTGGCTCCCCACAACCTTACGGCCGTCCCCTGCGAAGGCTGAACGCCGAGGAGGCGCCGAAATCAGCCAGGCGACTGGGGTGCTTCGTGCCTGAACGCCGTGCTAGGGCAGCACCCGGGAGCTGCAGAGCTGGCTGCCTCGCAGCGCTTGCAGGATCCGGCCCTTATAAGTTATACGCCAATAGAGCGAGGGAAATGGGATGCCAGGGACAGCCCTCTGCAAAGCACAGCCCGCGTCTCTCTGGTCCCATATTTTTTGTTGGGAAGCGTTATCTTTTTAATTTGTTACGTATCATGCATCGTCTGATTAATTATTGTTTCTCTGCAGGGAGGACTAGAGTTTATAGAGCAATATAGCATTAGTGGTAGCTTTATACACCCTCAAAGCCCAGAGGAAGCTCAGCAGAGTACTTATGCGATGTTTTGTCGATAATAATGACTCAGCATTTGGCCAGTTTGTGGGTATATCAGAAGCGCTTTATTAAAATGTACACAGTATATGCATCGAACATAAATACAGCCGAGAGATGCGGAGCGTGCCGTGCCGCATACATAGCAGTCGGCGCCTATGCTGGGCCGGCCGCTCCGGGAGAGCTCTGGGCCGGAGCTGCTGGCAGGCAGAGCCCTGCCTGCCTCTGCCTCTGCCCCCGCCCCGCCCTGCCCGCTCCGCAAATCCCCGGCAGTGCAGGAGTTTAATTGCCACGGTGGCCTGGGAGGCATTGAGCCGCTCGGCATGTCCTTCAGCTCCGTGAATGCAGAAATAGCCACGGTAAAATTCCCTTTACAGCCACATCTCTCCGTCGGCTGAGCGAGAGCCCTCTCCCTGAAGAAGCCTTCCCATCCAGCAAACGATATTAAGGAGGTTGTATAACTGATTGGGGAAGGTACTGCGGCAGGACTAACAGCAATGAAATGCGGCTGAACATTTCCAGCGCTGAGTAAACCATATGTCTTCATAATTTGATTGTGCCCCGGTCCCCCAGGTACTCCCAGCTCTATTGAACACCGATGGAGTTATTTAGAATCATAAATAATATTATCAAAGAGGGTCTGCTGGGTAAACAGAGTTGGTGTATAAATTGTTGGCGCGCGATATTGATTGTTCTGAGCTGACTAATGAATTATTCTGTTTAAGGGCCCGTGCAAATAACGCTCAGCGTTTTCAGGGCAAGGACCCTCTGAAGAATTTCCCCCCAGCGCTGCTGGGCTTTGTTGTCCCGGCCACCGCAGGCAGCGAAC